GAGAAGACAGCAAAACATCTAATTCCTAAATAATAAAAGGAGTCATATGAAAAAAAGCATAGAAATACAAGGAGAACCAGTATAACTACCAATAGATGTAGTAAAAACAATTCACAAAATGAAAAATATGAATAGAAAGAGATGAAGGTTATGGTGGAGTAGCAATTTTCATTTCACATTAAATTGTATACGAAGTCATTCAATTTAATCATAATTTTAATTAAAAAATTGAAGTTTGTGGAATCAATATCATTCTTGGTAACCACAAACTTGCTATAGTATCTCTATATAAACCCTCCGATGTTAGAGCGAAATCTCAAGACTACATAAATTTATTAAGTCGCATAAAATAATACGGAGAATACGTAGCATCTCAGAAGTCTTATCTTTGGAAATTGAAATGCCCCTGCTTCATAGTACTTTTTTCAGTTTTTTGAAAGAATTTCTTGCCTGTCCTATTCTTGCCTTAATCTCTTTTGTGTACTCATTATTTTCATTAATTATTGTACCCTGATATTTACATTTTTCAACTTTTTTAATTTGTTCTTTATGTATTGTTATGTTTTCTTGGCGCTCATAGTTAGTTCTTCTGGTGCTTTCTGGATTATTTGCTCTGAATACAAATTAAACAAAGTAGGAGACAGGACACAGCCCTGCCGGACGCCCCTCTCAATTTGTATTTCATTTGAAAAGACGTTGTTCTTTTTTACCACAGCGATCTGATTATAATCCTTATGATCCTTATGTCTCTCATATCTAAGTTTTTCTTTTCAAGTAATTCGATAAGACGGTTATGTCTGACCTTATCAAAGGCTTTGTTGTAATCCAAGAAACACATGTATACTGGCTGATTAACATCCATGCACCTTTGTACAAGTACATTCACAGCGAACAGGGCTTCCTTTGTTCCCAGTGCATTTCAAAATCCAAATTATGTGCCACTTATGTCCTGCTCAAGTTTGTTGTGTATACTCCGGTGTATAATTTTTAAAAACATTTTGAGCGTATGACTCATTAAACTTATCCGGTGGTCTTGGCATTCTTTTGCATTTGGTTTTTTTGGTAGTTATGAATGTTGACATTAGCCAATCTCTGGACATGATTCCTGTACTGTATATTGTATTGAATAAGTCGACCAATATTCCAATTTGCGGTTCTTCTATTGACCGTATTATGTCTACAGGTATTTCGTCAGGATCTGTTGCCTTGTTATTCTTTGATCGCTTTATCGCCTCTAATACCTCATATTCTGTTATGTCTGGGCCGTTGTCGAACTTTTCCTGCTAGTACTATCTTAGTCTGTTCGTCTTCAAATAGCTCTTGAATATATTTCTGATATCTTTTAAGCCTTTCACCGACGTCTATAATTATTTTGCCGTTTTTATCCAGTAGTCTGACTCGAGAGTTTCGAGTCAGATAGTAAGGAGAAAAACTGGTGTGACGGACGCAGTTGAAAGAATTACAACCCTGAAATGGAACTGGGCAGGACATGTTGCTAGGGTCAGAGATGGAAGATGGACAAAGAAAATTTTAGAGTGGAGGCCTAGACACGATGCTTATCGTAGTCGAGGACGTCCTCCAATAAGGTGGTCGGACGATTTAAAGCGCATCCAGTCTAACTGGATTCAAGTTGCTCAAGATCGGATGCAATGGAATTATTTACGGGAGGCCTATGTTCAGCAGTGGACGCAAAATGGCTAATGATGATGATGATCCAGTAGTATGTTTGATTTTTTCCTAATATTTGTGCCTGTTATTTCCCTAATTTTCTTATGAAGATTTAAGTTATCATGTTTCTCCACTAACTGTTCGATCTCTTCGCATCTGTCACTATACCATCTTTCCTTTGCATCTCTGATCTTACTTCTTATTTCTGTGTATACAATATTATACATGATTTTGTCTTTGGTTTTATAGGATCTTCTTGCTACCATGAGATCCAGAATCTTATCGGTCATCCATTCATTTTTGTTCTTGATCATCTTAGGTGTTCAATCTAGGTGATCATCTAGTGTTGTCTCACATGTGCGTATAAGAGCATCTTTTAATATATGCCGTTTCCTGTTCGCATCTTCAATAGGAATAATTTCTATTTTGGTGAGCTCTTCTTTAATTTTTAGTGTGACTTGCTCTTGCGTGCTTCTGTTCTTCCTGAATCCACATTGTGTATTTTTCATAGTTGGTTCTATTTGGGGTTTTATTCTTGTTTCTATTAGTCTTGCAAATACTTTCCTAGGAATACTTGATATAGTAATATCTCGGTAATTATTACAGTTTCTCTTTTTCGTATTTTTGTGTATTGGTAGTATAATGTCTTTCTTCTTCTTCTTCTTCCACTGTGGTATTTCTGCTCTCTTTATCATATCATCCATTAGTTCGTTCATGCTGTCCACTCCTTTTATTTCCATAAATTTTATCATTTCCGGGGTGATATGATCCTTGCCTGGTGCTTAGCCTAATTTAACTCTTTTAATTGCCTTTTTCGTTCCTCTATTGTTATGGGTTCTACTTTTTGTTCTTCATTTATTCCTCGTATCTCCACTATGTTGTTTACGTCTGTATGAGTTAGCTCTTTGAAATGTTCTCTCCATCTTTCCATTATTTGGTTTTCTTCTGTTATTATCTTTCCATTCTTGTCTTTTATATTCGGCAACATTTGTGTTTTTTTTTTGTCTGAGCTGTTTTAATGCGCCATAGAAGAGTTTTTGATTGTCCCTATAATTATTTCAATTGCCTTTTTTCGTTCCTCTATTGTTATGGTTTCTACTTTTTGTTCTTCATTTATTCCTTTTATATCCACTATGTTATTTACGTCTGTATGAGTTAGCTCTTTGAAATGTTCTCTCCATCTTTACAATATTTGGTTTTCTTCTGTTATTATCTTTCCATTCTTGTCTTTTATTTATTTATTATCTTTAGTTTCCTTCGTATTTCGTCCGTCCACCATTCAGTTCTACTCATGCTAGTATTTGCTATTTTTGTCTTCCCGCAAGTTTCCTCAGCAGCTATGATTAAGTTGGTCTTGAAATTTTCCCACTTTTCTTCTATACTTGCAGTTTTTGCCCTATCTTTAAAAATATTGTCAATTTTTTTGGAATATCTTCTTATATCTTGCTTCTTTTAATTTGTAGCTTTTTACTTTTTCATTTACTACCTTTCTCCTCTTTTCTTCCTTTTCTTTTGCTGTTCTCTGAATCTCTGAGCTTCTTTTCAGTTTCGTGTCTTGTACTCTTTTCCATTTATTGCTACTTCTTTCACCATTTTTGTTTAGTATTTCTTCTCCTTCTTTCCCATGCATTCCATTGTTATTATTTCCGACTCTACCGTTTAGATCTCCCATTACAATTATATTTTCTTCCCCATTGTCAATTTGCATTTGGAGCTCCTCGAAAAATTTATCCTTCTCTTCCTTTTTTGCATTTACTCCGTAGGCTGTTCATATTTTCTCGTCTATTAGTTTCATTTTCAGCGATGATATTCTCTGGTTAACATATGTTTTTTCTATAACGTATTGTAGTCTATTCGGTGAAATTATTATCCCTACACCTTCTTTTGCTCTCTCCTTTGCATCAACTCCTACCCAAAATAACCAATATTCTTTGTATATCTTCTTCAAACCTCTTTCTTTCATTTTCGTTTCCGTTATTCATATTATTTCTATTTTTTGTCTGACCATTTCTTCTACAAGTTCTACCTCTTTTCCATTGATGCTTCTTACGTTTCATGTTCCCATTTTTATCTCTCATTTTTTTTGCGGTATATCTTTCATCTTCTTCCTATTTTCATCCTTGTTTACCTTTGCATCGTGCTTTTTCCTATCGTTTTTCCTATTCGTCGCCCTGGTCGTCATTGTCAGATCTTTTACGTTGCTTTGGCCGTTATCAATATTCCTCTTGTGGGTGTAGTTTTTTAGTTTTTTGGATGTTTTTCCAGTTCTTTTTTTATTTTATTCCATCTCCATTCTTCTTGGTTTACTGACACCTTGTTGTAACCAATTTTGAGGTCTTTGCCTTTCTCTTTTTCGTTTTTTTTTTCAAAATTTCTTAGGTGTTTTTGCTTTTTTTCTCTTCTCTAGTCAAGTCATCATTGATGAATACTTTCTCTTCTACGACGTTTTTAAGTTTGTATTTTTTTGCCATGATCTCGTATTTTTTCTCTTCGTTTTTTTGGTTCTGTATTCTCGCCTATTTTTTTAACTGTTGTAGGTGTAATATCAATTTGAGGATGTTTATTAAAAAATCCTTTTATTCTTTCTTTTATAATGCTTGGTTCATTTGTATCCATTTTTAGACCATTCATTACAATGTTTTTTTTTCTTCTATTTTTTTTTTTATTATTTCGACTGCTTTTTTCATTTCTTGTAACTCTCTCCTTATTTCTAAATTATCTTTTCTTATATCCTGATATTCTTTTTTTAATTGTTCGTTTTCTACTGTCAGTTTTAGAGCTTCGTTTGTTTTGTTTTGTTGGTCTTTAATTTCTCTTATTTCAGTTTTTATTTCTTTCTGTTCTTGGTTCATATCTTTTTGAGTTGTGTTCATTTCTTTCATCATTATTAATAACTGGTCTAATTTCTCAGATTCAATTGTTTGGCGTTTTGTAGATTATTGTTGTTCTTGGTGTTTTTTTGCTGTTCAAAAAAATCTGTATTTTCTCCTTTTCTTTTTCTCCCTTCATCTGTAGAGTATTCAACGCTGTCTATTCTTACAATATTTTCCTTGGACTTTTCTTAGTAATCACGCAGTAATGGGTTAAATTTGACGAATTTATTTCTTTTGGTTGTTCCACACTGTATACGTTTACTACTGAATGTATCCATAGATACACATTATACATAAGTACAATTTTGTAAATATTTTGTTACCAACGTGTTAATTTAATCCATTAAGTGAACCAATTTAATCAATTGAGAGCTATTTGTTTATGAGAAATATTCAAGTAAGCAGAAACACATTATTATAAAGTTGTATTGTCTCTACTAAACAATTTTTGTACTAAAAATGACTAGTATTCTACGAATTATAGCTTTCCTTCCTTTAATTACTGCAGAAATATTTGTAAAAGAACCAATCAATAATTTACAATATTTAATAAATGAATTAATAGAATCAGTAGATTGCCAGAAGAAGATGGTTTACATTATAGATACTCCTGTAAGAATTGTCAATTACCCCGTGGTTTTACTTGATACAAAACTCAATATGGATAGAAAATTAGAGTTCTATCCGGACGTTTATGTTATAGGAAAAAACATAAGCCATACTTTGAATATCCTTTGTATGTCATTCGCATTCAACAGTAAAAGTCTGTTCCTGTTGGTCGTTGACCAAATTAACGATAGTTTGCTGCAAATGATAGATCTATATTACATTTACAATGTGGTATTATTGAAAGTAACTCAAAGTGGTAACTATGAACTATGCACAATAAATGCCAATAAACTTGCTGCAAAAAATATTACAGCATTGCCATTTTGTAAAATAATAAACAAAATAAAAAAGTTCAAAAAATTAAAGACAGATCTTTCCAACAGTTCTATTAAAAAGAAGTTTAATCACGTAAATATTTTGTATGATATTTATCCCCCCTACATTATGACCTCAGAGGATGGCATTCACGTTAATTTACTTAAAATCATTGGAGACAGTTTAAAATTAAAAACAAATTTCATCAAATCCAATCAGCCAACAAATCCAATGAGAATTCCTCAAGAATTTATGGACAATAGTTCCTATGATATATTTGTCACTTTAACTATTAATCGCCAATTTGAAGACATGCCTGTAGATAAAACTGAGGAAATTTCTCATGATACGGTAATATTTCTAGCTCCCGTTATTCTAAGTGATGGATTGTGGAATGTTTTATATGGTGAATATGAAACTGCAGTTTGGATTTCATTTTTGATTTCAATAGTGATATTCTATCTAGCTTTTTATCTTGTCGGACAAATTTTACAGCAAGATAAAAATGCTTCGACAAGTCTTCTTCTACTAAGTATTTTATTTCAAGGTAGCACTTCGGTCCAAACAAAATCAAGATCTTTTAGTATATTGTTTGTTTTTTATTTGACCTTTGCTTTCATTTTTACAACTGCTTACAAAAGCGAAATGTTTGATATAATGAGAGTGAATAACACTTACAACCTCATAAAAACACCATCTGATCTGTTTAAATATAAAATAAATCTAGGTCTATGGAATCCAATAGTTACTAAACAAATTCAAGGTGTTGTTGATCCATCTGAACAACCATTCATCGAATCAAATGTTACTGTATATTGCTATATGGACTTTTTTCAGTGCATTCGACGTGTTGCGCTTGATAAAGATCTGTTTATTTCCGTTCCGTTAAGGGTGGCTCAATCGCTTGTATCAGAAATATTTGTTGACTCCGACAATAAGCCGATGGTTAATACAATTAATAAGGCACAAAAATCAAATTTATACTTTGTTTTTATATTTAGAAAAGGTCATCCTTTACGTGATCTATTTAACCACAAAATAAGAATTCTTAAAGAAAGTGGTTTGACTGAATACGAATATCTAAAATATAAGCAAAGATACGAGAAAGCAAAGTTCTTAATCAACAAGGATAAGGAATTATATTATAAACCCTTAGATATGAGAAGCATGCAAGTTATATTTTATCTTTATACAATATGTTTATTAATGAGTGTAATTGCGTTTTGCATAGAGCTTGCAGTAAATCTAAGGTTTTGTCAATAATATAAAATATATTTTTAAAAACTAGTTTTATTCATTTATTGTATCGTAATTATAACCAGTATTAATTGGGGCAATCGGTATACCCAAAGAAGATGTTGAGACTTCCTGGAACACTACCTTCTTCTTCTTCTTCTTCTTCTTATTATTATTATTATTCCAGATTTAGCCATACGGCTCACACTCCCTCTAAGGGGAAAATTCACTCATCCCAGATACCTACGGTATCAAAAGGATTGAGCTCTGGTGGGACTCTTTCCGTGTTATCGAGCCCTAGGTGACTTGGTATGTTGGAGTATCTCCCAAAAATTTTCGTACACATCTGGACGTCGCGAGGAGTACAGCTTTCTGCATGGCCTTATAAAGATGTTCATTTAGACCTAGTTGTTTTATGTTCGCTAGGAGGTTTTTGGGAATAACACCAGTAATAGATAGAACAATAGGTAGTGTCTGGGTACTTTCCATTCTCCATTGTCTCCTGATTTGTATTTCTAGATCTCTGTACTTGGCGATCTTTTCTTTGTATTTAACAACTAAATTATTGGTGTTGGGTATCGCCACATCAATAAGTGTTGTTTGTCTAGTAAGTTTATTAACTAGTATCAGATCCGGTCTATTATGGGCCACTGGTTGGTCTGTAAGTCGGACACAGTGCGGTCCAAGTATAGCTTATAGTTGTCATTTTCAAGCATTCTATCAGGAGCGTATTGATAATAAGGAAGATGGTCGGTATGGAGAAGTCCCAGTTTGTCAGCTAGTTCTTGGTGGATAATCTTTCCTACTGAGTCATGGCGTTCTTTATAATCAGTACCGACAAATGCCTGGCAGCCACCGGTAAGATGTTGGATGGTTTCTTGGGCTTGGCATCCATATCGACATTTGTCATTTTGTATTTGAGGATCTTTAACAATATATTTCAGGTAATTTTTAGTTGGAATAACCTGATCCTGAATGGCAAGTAGGAAACCCTCAGTCTCGGGAAACATCTTTCCTGATGTCAACCAATAGTTCGACGCTGTATTGTCGACATATTCTTGGTTGATCTTATGGAGATGTCGCCCATGCAGAGGCTTACTCATCCAGGTGCGCATTTTTTCTTGCTGGGTCAGGTGGTTTATGCGCATTTCTTGTTCCCTCAGTTTAAGCGGCGTCGTATCATCTACTGCGCAAATTGCTCGATGTAAAGTAGATGTCTCAGCCTGTACCTGAAAATAAGACCTTAAATTAGCAATTTGTTTATCTAATTGCTCACCTATATCCATAAGTCCTCTTCTCCCTTGATACCGCGGTAATGTTGTTCTCTCTACTGCACTACGTGGATGATATTTTTGCGCCTTTGTGAGAAGTGTTCTTACTTTCCGCTGAAGACCCTTTATTTCCGTTTTTGACCACTTTATAATACCAAATGAGTAGCTCAGAGCGGAACAGGCGTACGTATTTAATGCCTTAAACAAATTTTTACTATTAAGATATGACCGATTTAGTTGTCTTACTCTTCGCACGAACTCCGAAGTTAGTTCCGTTTTCATTTGTTTATGGTCAATTTTACGTGCTTGTTTTACTCCGAGATATTTGTACATATCATTTTTACCCATTGCCTCGATGTTTTGGCCATCTTGCATATCGAAACCTCCAGGCTGAACCTTTCCTCTGACTAGATTTAGTATACGGCACTTGTCTAGTCCAAAATGCATACTGATGTCATTTGAGAAATTTTCTACAGTTTTTAGCATCTCATCTAGGTGGTTTCGGGTGGAAGCCATTAATTTTAAATCATCCATATACAACAGATGATTAAGCTTCGCTACAACGGTGTTGTTATTTTTGATGCTAAATCCTGAGTCAGTAGAGTTCAGCAGCTGAGATAGTGGATTCATCGCTAGGCAGAACCAAAGTGGACTCAACGAGTCCCCTTGGAAAGGCCCCGGTTAATAGGGATATCTTCAGTTTCGATATTAATTTCACCAGGTATTTGAAGGTGAATTTTAGTCTTCCACTCTGCCATTATATGCTTCAAAAAGGTCACGAGATTATCATCGACTTTATATATTTTTAATATATCTATAAGCCATTCATGCGGCACTGAATCAAAAGCCTTCTCGTAGTCAATGAAGGCAGTAAAAAGGTTTCTTTTTTTGGTGTATGCCTGGTTAGAAATGACTGAGTCGATAATAAGTTGTTCTTTGCATCCCATGGAGCCCTTAGCACATCCTTTCTGTTGGGGCTCTATGATATTGTTCAGAGCACAGTGTTGGTAGATACGCCGGGCCACACAGGATGTGACCAATTTGTACAAAGTTGGAAGACAAGTAATTGGGCGGTACTTGGCTGGATCTTGGGTGTTATTTTGATCCTTCGGTATTAGATAAGTGGTTTCCTGAGTAAGGAATGATGGTATTTCCTGTGAATTAGAAATAATATTATTAATAAATACTGTTAAAAGCTCATGAACACTCCAAAACTTCTTTAGCCAGAAGTTTTGAACTCCGTCCGGTCCAGGAGATTTCCAGTTATGAAGCTCTTTGATAATGTTCGAGACTTCTTCAGTGGTGAAAGGTTCATAAGGAATATTCCTGTAGTGTTGACATTTATTCGTGGTGTCTTCAATCCATCCAGCATTGTTGTTATGGGTAGCTGGCGTCGAAAGTTGGTTTCCCCAAAACTCATGAATTTCTTCTTGGCTTGGGTAGGATTTATTTGCGTCTTCTTCAGTGGAATTAAGTTTCCTATAGAAAGTTTTCTCTGCTTGCTCAAAAAGTATATTGTCGCATTTGCGGTTGTTACTAACTTTGTATCTCCTCAGGCGGCCTAAGTAAACATATAGTTTTTGTTTTAATGTGTCCAGGCATTGCTGAGGTGTGTTGTTTTCTGGATCATATCGTGAGTGTCTTAGAGTGTTAAACTGTATTTCTTCAGCTCTTTTGATGATTTTTCTACTTCTTACTCCTCTTATGTACTCTGTTATTTGTCCAATGTCCCTACGCAGTAATTCGATCTTATTCAGCAGTCGTTTTTCCCAGGGTGCTATTCTGTTACCAGTCCTTCCGATGTTGGTACCCCGTCGTGTTCTGATCTTAATGCCCATAACATTAGCAATTGCTGTTGCTGCACAGTAAATCAGCATATGCAAATATTCCAATGTGTGGGCTTCTGTGATATAATTGGGTAGGACTTCAGTATTCACAATGTGTAACAGCGCTCCTAGTTTATTATTATCCAGATTTAGCCATACGGCTCACACTCCCTCTAAGGGGAAAATTCACTCATCCCAGATACCTACGGTATCAAAAGGATTGAGCTCTGGTGGGACTCTTTCCATGTTATCGAGTCCTAGGTGACTTGGTACGTCGGTGTATCTCCTAAAAATTTTCGCACGCATCTAGACGTCGAAAGTAGCACAGCTTTCTGCATGACCTTATATAGATGTTCATTTAGACCCAGCTTTTTTATGTTTTCTAGGAGGTTCTTCGGAATGACTCCAGTGGTAGAAAGAATAATCGGTATCGTCTGGATACTTTCCATTCTCCATTGTCTTCTTATTTGTATTTCCAGATCTCTGTACTTGGCGATTTTTTGGTTGTACTTAACACGCAGGTTATTGTTGTTAGGTATCGCCACATCGATTAGAGTTGTTTGTCTTGTTAGTTTATTAACTAGCACGAGATCTGGTCTATTATGTGCTACAGTTTGGTCTGTGAGCACAGTACGATCCCAGTATAGCTTGTAGTTGTTATTCTCAAGCATACTCTCTGGAACGTATTGATAATATGGGAGATGGTTTGTTTGTAGAAGTCCCAGTTTAATAGCTATCTCTTGATGGAGGATCTTCCCTACTGAGTCATGCCGTTCCTTATATTCAGTTGCAGCAAATGCCTGGCAGCCTCCGGTAAGATGTTGGATCGTTTCTTGGGCTTGACATCCATATCGGCATTTGTCGTTTTGGACCTGAGGGTCTTTGACAATATATTTCAGGTAATTTTTGGTTGGTATAACCTGATCCTGAATGGCGAGTAATGAACCTTCTGTTTCAGGGAACATCTTTCCTGATGTTAGCCAATAGTTCGACGCTATATTGTCGACATAGTCTTGACTGACTTCAAACGGATGTCGCCCGTGCAGAGGTTTACCCATCCAGATGCGCATTTTTTCGTTCTTAGTAAGATGGTTTATGCGCATTTCTTGTTTCCTCAGGTTGATCGGTGTTGTCATCTACTGCGCAAATCGCGCGATGAAGAGTAGATGTCTCCGCCTGCACCTGAAAATAAGTTCTTAAATTATTAATCTGTTTATCTAATTGTTCTCGTCCTCCTAAATACCGTGGTAATGTCGTTCTTTCTACTGCACTTCGAGGATGGTGTTTTTGTGCCTTTGTGAGGTGTCTTCGTACTTTTCTCTGAAGACTTTCTATATCCGTTTTAGTCCACTTAATAATGCCAAATGAGTAGCTAAGCGCGGAAAATGCGTAGGTGTTTAATCCCTTAAACAAATTTTTACTATTAAGATGTGAGCGGAGTAGCTGTTTTACTCTTCGTATGAACTCAGATGTTAATTCGATTTTCATTTGTTTATGATCAATTTTCCGCGCTTGCTTTACTCCTAGATATTTATACATGTCATTTTCGCCCATAGCCTCGATGTTTGGATTATCATCGACTTTATATATTCTTAATATATTTACCAGCCATTCATGCGGCACTGAGTCAAAGGCTTTCTTATAGTCAATAAAAGCAGTGAAGAGGTTCCTTTTTTTGGTGTATGCCTGGTTAGAAATGACTGAGTCGATAATAAGTTGTTCTTTGCAACCCATGGAGCCCTTAGCGCATCCTTTCTGTTGAGGTTCTATGATATTGTTTAGAGCGCAGTGTTGGGTTATTATTATTATTCCAGATTTAGCCATACGGCTCACACTCCCTCTAAGGGGAAAATTCACTCATCCCAGATACCTACGGTATCAAAAGGATTGAGCTCTGGTGGGACTCTTTCCATGTTATCGAGTCCTAGGT